CATCAAGGGAGAAGAAGAAGACTCACTGATGCAAGCATGTAGCCCATGCTGACCTTCAGCTCCTGACCCTCCCACCTCCACCTCCCAAGTGCTGGGGTGACAGGTGTGCCCCTCCACACCTGGTTTAGCGGTGCTACAGTGGAACCAGGGGCTCTGCTCACCAATGCCCTGCCTGGACAGTTGCTTCTCTTTCATGTCCCACCTTGCTGTCACCTTAATGGATTGCCCCCTAACATGCTCCCACTTGAGTCTCAGCAGACTCTTTTTGGGAGGCCCTGTGGCTCTGTGCAGCTAGCAGCCCCAACTGAACAGGGAGGCAGCCTGTGGGAAGACAGGCAGGCTCACATGCTGATAAAACTTTACTGACAAAAACTAGCATGGAGGTTGCAACTAGTCCAGCCTAGGTCCCCGGCCTTATCCTGGCCCTGTGTATATCAGCACGCTAATCCCAGCAGCCTAATTGAGGAAGGGCCCCAGAGCCATCCAACTGCAGGATCTCACGAGGACACCTAGGGCAAGACTTGATGGAACCTTTTGTCTCTAAGGTTCTGACCCTGATGTCAAGGTCACTGCCTCTTCCTGCTACACCTGGCATCTCATGGGCCATACCCGGCACACCTTGGCAGTCACAGTGCATCTGCTGAATGCCACCCTGTCCTGGTGCTGTGCTGTTGGAGGAGCAGGAGGAGCACCGATGCCCCTGCAGCTGGAGCAGAGAGTGAGGGGCAGGGAGGGAGTCAGAAGGGATGGGGTAGGGCTGTGGGCAGAAGGAGGGCCCTGAGCCAGTTTTTAATGGGGCTTCTTCTGGACCAGGAGAGCTGGGGGAAGCAAAATGAAGGATGATGAAGCTGGACCTGGTGAGGCAGAGGGTGGAAGAGACGTGGGCAGACTCTGGGGTGATTTTAGAAGCAATGCTGACATAATTCACCACCCGTTTAGATAGGGGAGGAGGCAGTGGCAGGTTAGGAATGATGAAGTTTAGGAACAGGCTCACGCCATAGCCCAGCAGGTCACCAGCCTAGGTGTCCTAAATACCCAGCCTTCCCGAGCCCTTCCACATACTCACAAACTACACAGGGACCCCGGCAGCCACAGGAAGACAGGCCAGTTTTGGGGCCAGACCTCTGGAGCAAGGAGTCCTTAATATAACTAACTGGGTTCTAAACAGCACAGGGATAGGCTGGCATCCCACCAGATTGATGGAAATTACTAGAGCAGATAGCAGGCTGGCTGGACAGGCAGCAGGGGACACAGGCACCCACAGAACCCAGCCTTTCCAGGAAGAACCACCAGGGGAGGCCTTGCTCTGCCTGCTTTTGACCTCCAGCCACAGCAAAACTGGGACACCAACCCTGAACACCCCCCGTGTTCACACACTTAACAAACAGAAGCTATCAGAATGGGTCATAGTAGAGGGCTGTGGGACTTGTGGAGGCAGGTATGCAGTTGGTGGTAAATTAATGCTAACACAACCAGCAATACTGACTCCTTAAAGAGATCAGGGCTGCAGTGATCCCCCAACTGTAGTTGGGGGCACATCAAGGAGCTGGACTGGAGGGTGGGACCCACACACAGCTGCTATGGGATTCTGTGTGGATGATTAACTTAATAGGACTCCAGTCAGGAAGAGGGACTTCCGGGAGGAACAGCCCCTGGGGGTCTGGAGTCAGGTGTGTCCAGAGCTCAGTGACAGACCCTTTTGAAGTTCTAGTCAGTTTATCAGTCCCCAGTCAGGATGACCAAGGCTCCATGGGGAGGAATGTTTGCCCTGAGGCTTCGGTGGGACCTATCATGTTTGTGGCCACACTGGCCACAAGGTGGACAGACAGGAAGGGACCCTGTGTCCCCTGCACAATTCCTCCAGCATGGTAAGGGACTGATTGCACAGGACACCAGGTGACAGTGGAGAAGGAGGGCAGGTGGCAAGAGGCAGGTTCATTGCCACTAGGTTCCAGATGGCACAGAGGAAGGCGTTGAGAGCCTGGGGCTAGGGACCGCTGGCTGTCTGGCTCCTCCCCCATCGCTGGTGTGCAAAAAGTACATTTGAGGGGACCCTTGGATGCCTGTGTGAGGCCACAGAGACCTAACTGCAGCGGTCAGACATTGGATATGCTGAGGAGCCTAGGGTCCTGTGAACCCTGGAAGTTCCTGTGACCTCAATGGAGAAAAGAGCATTCTGTTCTCTCAGCGGTGCACATTGCCCTGCCCTGCCCAGAGAGGCTGCTCATGACAAGAAAGGGGACAGGAGGAAGCTGGGTGGCCCCACAGGCTATGTTAGCATGGCAGACAGGGTCCAGGGAGAAGAGTCTGGAAGGTTTGGGGGTTGACAGGACATTGGCTCACACAGCCAAGATGGAGAAATCACCTCAAATCATTCCTTTGCCCCCCACCCGTTTTAGAGAGAGGTAGACTGAGGCCCACAAATGGGTGATAGGTGGTGTGTAGCAGGGAGGCACCAGAAGGTCACACTTGCAAGATTGACAGCCCAGCATGGTGGCCCCAGAAAGGGGGTCGCATGGAGGACATTTTCGCCCTTTCTAGCCTGGCAGGTGGGGGTTCCTTCACTAGAATAGGGTGCTGCAGCATCCCACGCACTGTGGAGAAACCACTCTCCACACACCCAAAGAGGCAGGGCTGGTTTGTCTCCATCACCTGCAGCAAGAGGATTCCCCCAAACGGGTCGGTCCCCTTTTCCTCCAAACCTGAGGACCCTATCTTCGCTACCGCATGCATCTAGAAGGGGATCGCTCCCTCCACAGGCTGCCAGGATACAGAGCCGCACCCACACCCGCCTGCGGGTCGCCCGTGTTACCCGAGGACCCTAAAACGGGCCGAGCGCTGAGAGCCCCGTATCCCCGGGCGGGGCTGTGCTGTCTCCCCGGCCGCAGCGCCGGCTCCCCCAGTCCATGGAATGGGAGGGCGCGCGCACCCCCGCGCCGCGCG